ATAATTGAAATTCTTTAATGAGTTTTATTATTTATGAAAATAATTGAATCTTGTTTAGAATTTTATCAAATAATTTAAAAAAAATCGAATTTCCATGAAAAATATTATTATTAGTGAAAGTAATTAAATTATTGTGAAGAATTGTATAAAAATTTTGTTAAATAATTGATTTTTTCGAAATTTTTTTCTTGAAAATGCTATTCTAACGTAATTGAATTTTGTGTGGAAATTTTATTATTTATGAAAATAATTGAAATTTGGATGAAATTTATCAATTTTTTTTTTAAATAATTGAATTATTTTGCGAAATTTTATGAAAATACTAGGGGAGAGTGGTCCTAAGTTGGCCGCCTAAGCAAATTGGTCGAAAATAGTAACAAAATGAAATTTAATCACTTCGGCAAGTATATATTAGTGTTCAGAGATCGTTTTGCTATAATTTTGTGGTATTTAGAACGTTATAGAATGACTTTTGTAGTCTTAATACAATAAATCGTGAAAAGCTGCATTTTGGACATTTCAGAAATAGCGGTCCTAAGTTGGCCACCCCCTGGTCCTAAGTTGGCCACCACTTTTTTTCGCTGGTGTATAAGGAAGAAATGCATATTCTTTTCAATTACGCAGAAATTTTACAAATTTGATACATTTAGGAGAATAAAAACGCATTATTTAACTATTTTTGTTTAGAAAATGAAGCATTGTTTTATTTCATTTATTTGCAGTGGTGGATGGCTGTGGAGACAGGCGTTTTTGTACTATGTTTTTTCTAATGTTTTTTAAACCATTTTTTTTTTTGTTTTTTGTCTTTGTTTAATTCCTACGTTACACTTTTACGGTCTTTCTCGTGATAAAAAACACAAAAAAGAAATAAAACATAAATAAAAACAAACAAAAACAATAGGTGGCCAACTTAGGACCACTGTAGATTTTTACAAGTTTCAAATTATTACGCTAATAAAAAAAATTTAATTAAAAAATCAACAGAACCTCTTATTACAACATTAAATAAAGGAACTAGCGCACACACTCATTTAGAAATTTTTAATTATTTATCTCTTGTAGCTGCTCTCGAAAAATCAAGAAAAATTAATTTTTTTTGGTCGTAAACAATATTATTGTCCTCACAATGCCTATAGAAGAATCTTTGATTATAATTAGGTCCATAAATTATATATCATGGTTTATCAATATATCATACCACAAAATTATAGATTCGTCCAGTATACCATCTCTGAGAAATGCAGGGTGGCCAACTTAGGACCACTCTCCCCTATAGTTTTTGAAATTATTGAATTTGGAATATTTTTTGAAAATAAATGAATTGTTTTAAAGAATTTAATTATAATTTTTGAGAAAATTTTTTTTATTTCGAGTATTAGCGAATTTAAAGTAGTGAAAATTCTCAAAAAAAAAAAAAAAAACAGAAAGCTTTTAGTGGCTGTAATCTAAAAAAAAAGTACCCAAATTGTAGTATAACGTGAAAAAAATAGTCAACAGTAGGTTTTAGTAGATAAGTGTGAATCCTGTAACAAGGTTGATTTAAACGAACAAAGAAAAAAATAAAATTAAAAATAGGAAACGAAATTAAGATTAAAGTGAAAATCTTGTCTAACTCAAAAAGGATCATTTACCCAAGTTTCAAAGAAGTCCTTTTAAAAAACTATCACTTCTCTGAAAAATACTTTTTTCAATAAAAAAAAGAAAAAATTTCCCCTTGAGATGAAAAGAAACAATTTTTTCTATCTTTTTATATAAGAAATACACTTTTCTTTTTTACATCATTTTAAGTATTCTGTATCTTTTTTTTCGAAAAAAAGGGTAAGAGAGAGAGAGAGAGAGAGAGAGAGAGAGAGAGAGAGAGAGAGAGAGAGAGAGAGAGAGAGAGAGTACAGCTCATTAAGTTCGAGCGTTACCAAAGGATGCATCTTGCTTGATTTAAAAGTACGAAATCCTTTTTCTCTAGTGCTTTATTACTCAGAATCGGATTTCCCTTTTTCCTGAAGCTACTCTTCCTTCTAGTCTTTCAGAGAAATCAGAATTTATATTAAATTCCGTCCTCATATTACCAGGAATATCGCTTTGGACTCTATATATAGAGAGAAGAAAGATGATCCCACGGGGTAGAGGGTCCAAGTCGCGTATCATTCCAAATCATGATGAAAAAGAGGGTGTTCTCTCCATCCAAACATATACACAACATTGTGCGAGCTTAAACAAGTTATTATCAAAAATCAAAACAAAGAAAAATTTTTCAGAAAAATGAAAATTTCTTACAAAAGTCTATATAAAAAAAAATATAGGGTGTCAAACAAAAACGTCAACAATTTTTCTGCAAGGTATTGTTGGCTCAGGTATTGTTCCTGAATAAGAAAAAAAAATATAAACAATATTACTTGTTTATAATGATCTACATCAGTTGAAATTATTTTCGGAATAATAAAAATTAAATAATCAATTTTACAAAACATTTTCTGGTGTACAAAACGTCCACAGTTTTTCTGATGGCTCAGTATTTGATCCAGAGTAAGAAAAAAGTTAAAATAAATAGTTATTGTTTTTAATAATGTATAGCAGTTGACATTATTTTGTCAGGATAATGATAATTTTATAGAACAGTTTAGTTTAGAAAAAAAATTTTGGGGGTAGAAAACGTCTAAAATTTTACTGCTGTCAATGATATTGGTCCAGAGTAAAAAAAAATTATTTCCTGGTACTAAACTATTACTAGAACAAATCCAATTTATTTCTGGTTCATAAAAATTAATTTAATTCACAATTCATAAAAAGTAACCACAGTCGAAACCAGCAGAAGATGAAAAATTATTTTTTGAGCGAACTTTATTTTCTTTTTACTAACATTGTTAGTCAAAGAATTTTTTACTGCTCCTCAACTATTACTAGAATAATTCCAATAATTTTCCCAGTCATAAAAATTAATTTAATTCACAATTCATAAAAAGTAACCATAGCCGATAATCAGCAGAAGATGAAAAATTATTTTTTGAGCAAACTTTATCTTCTGTTTACTAACAGTTATTAGTCTAAAAATTTTTTACTGTTCCTAAACAATGGCTAGAACAAAATTTTCTCAAAAATCTTCAAAAACAGGCAAAATTCCAGAGAATTTGTTAAATTTCATACTATTTCTAGGTTTTCCATAACTTTTCCAGGATTTCCAGGATCTGTGGCAACCATGTTTATTTTAATAGTATTTTAACTATTCTATGGCAGAGGTACTTAGAACTTTTTTAGGATTTGTTTCCGATTCACAAAAAATTTGTATTTTGAAAAACGACGCTGGTTCTGATTATTTTTTAAAACAATTTTTGGTGTCGAATATTAAAATTAAGCTTTTTTTCATGAAATTGGAGCTTTTTTTTATTAAAGAAGAGCTTTTTCTGAAACACGGAGGTACTAAGAACTTTTTTAGAATTTATTTCCGATTCAGAAGAAATATGTGTCTTGTTATTTTTTTATTTTTTACTATGAAAATGAAATTTCACTTCAAATCAAAACCAAGTCAAAGATTAGTCAAAGAATGTCAAAATAAATCCAAGTCTTTAAGATTAACTATGGTCAAACTGAGTCTAAGTCAAAGTCTTGGTCATATTCAAAGTTTTTGGCAAAGTTTTATTCAAAGTTTTATTATTATTTGTTCAAGTTTTATTTTATTTTATTTGTCAAAGGCAAAGTCATTGTCAAAGACTTAGTATTAGATTTAGTATTAGACTAAGACTAACACTTTAACTAAGACATAGACTAAGACTTTGACTAAAGACAGAATTTTACTAAGACTTGGACTTGGACCAAGACTTAGACTTTAACTACAACATTGACTAAGACTTAGGCTTAGACTTTAAGTAAGACTTGGACCAAGACTTAGACTTTAACTATGACATTGACTAAGACTTAGGCTTAGACTTTAAGTAAGACTTGGACCAAGACTTAGACTTTAACTACGACATTGACTAAGACTTAGACTTTAAGTAAGACTTTGACCAAGCCTTATACTTTGACTAAGACTGTGACCAAGCCATATACTTTGACTGAGACATAGACTTTGACTAAAACTGAGACTTTGACTAAGACTTGGACCAGGACTTAGACTTTAACTATGACATTGACTAAGACTTAGGCTTAGACTGTAAGTAAGACTTTGACCAAGCCTTATACTTTGACCAAGCCATATACTTTGACTGATACATAGACTTCTAAAACTGAGACTTTGACTAAGACTTGGGTCAAGACTTAGACTTTAACTACGACTTCGACCAAGCCTTATACTTTGACCAAGCCATATACTTTGACTGATACATAGACTTCTAAAACTGAGACTTTGACTAAGACTTGGGTCAAGACTTAGACTTTAACTACGACTTCGACCAAGCCTTATACTTTGACCAAGCCATATACTTTGACTGATACATAGACTTCTAAAACTGAGACTTTGACTAAGACTTGGGTCAAGACTTAGACTTTAACTACGACTTCGACCAAGCCTTATACTTTGACTAAGACTATGACCAAATTTAAAAGCAGGAAAACAAAAGAAACTAAAATTCGTACCTAAATTTTGTCTCTTTCTGGTTTTTGGCGGATGCTGTGGCGCGTGATTTTAGATTTTTAGAAAGAGAGAGAAAGAGATCAGGTGTCGCGATTCTGGTAACCCAGAGCGCACACATACACATTCTGGCTTTTCTGCGCTGGCTCGACTCGACACCCCACCATAGAATTGCGAGAGGGAGGAGAGGGCTACACTCTCTCTCTCTCTCTCTCACTCTCACCTCTTTCTACCTTCAACCTATAACACCCTCCACCCTCTAGTAAGCACCAGCAGCGCAGCGCCTCGACTCTCAACCTACAACCGGCATCCCCATCTCTCTCTCTCTCTCTCTCACTCTCTCTTTATCTCACTCACTCCATTTTCTCTCTCATTCTCTCTCTGTATCATGCTGGGCTTTTGCTGTAACCTCCTTCGCTTCACTCAGTAGCGCCGGACGTCTCAACGCGGCAGCACGTTTTGGAGGGAGATTTTCGACATTTCGTCTCTCTGCGAACAACCCCCGTGTGTATAGGGACCCGCCCACCTTCAACTATACACGAATCTTACCCCCTTTTTTTCAAACACTCTCTTCTCTTAACGCTTTTCAAGAAAGTACGCGAGAAAAAAAAAATTTTTCCATCATTTAAATTAGTTTTTCTTGTTTTCCAAATTTCAAAAGTTTTTTATTCGTAGGTAAATTTCGAAAAAAAATTCCAAAAAAAGTTTTTTTTTTTTAGAAGAAGTGTAAAATGTTTTGAAAAGAGGAATTTTCTTCGAAAAGACAAGTTTTATGGAAGACAAATATTTCTTATTTTTACATTAATAATAATAAAAAAAAGTGAGTGAATCAAAACCAAGAGGAAAAAAAAATGGATGTGAGACGAAAATCGTCTTGTTTTTATCCGACATTAGACGGCGGTGGTGAGAGTGGTGAATCTGGTGTTAAAAAAGTTTTTCGATACAACTGTGTTGAAAGTTGTCAAGATTGTTGTGAAGAGGTGAGAGAGAAATTGGTAAAAAGAAGTGGATATTCAAGGATGTGCTTGGTGACAATTAGTGTTCTTGTGATCCTGATGAGCTATCCTCAGGGAATAATGGCCCACTCGAATAAGGGTGAGTGTTGAAGTGCTGTTTTTTTTCTCTTTTTTTGTTTCTTCCCCACATTCTCCACGACACTTTTCACAAAAAAAGTGTTTTCTCATCAAAAATAAAAACTTGCTTTTCTATATATTTATATGTGATAAAAAAAAGAAATTTCGCTCAACTCTTCTTTTTTTTCGAGGGATTATATTTGTATAAACATTTTTGTCCCGCGGATGAAATTTAAGTTTTATTCGGAGCTAAAAGGATGTTGAACTTAACTGATGAATGTGAAACTGTATATCTATAGCTTTGCTGAAATGAAATATTTATCTCTTTTGAAATGACAAGAGAGAGAGAGAGAGAGAGGGAGAAGGCAGGCTTTGTAAACCGAGGGGAAATTGCAATGTGTTTACTTAGCAGAAATTATGTTTAGAGATTGAAACACAAATGACATGTATTATTATTGCTAAATTACGACAATAATTAGTCGATTAATTAAATTTCACAATTCTCTGAAATTGAATTAGGGGAAAATTAACAATTAGTTGAAAATTGTAAAAGTTTTTATACTAATTCTTGTTCTACTGATTCTATTTAGTCCTTATTTGTTTATTCATATTGTCTGGTAGTTTTTAATTTTTTACTTAAATTTTAGTGAAAAATTACTATTAGTAAAAGTCCTCAATTAGTTGAAATTAGCAAAAGTTTTTACTAATTTTTCATCTTCTGCTAATGCTACTTAATTCTTTTTATTCTGATTAGTAGACTTTAATTTTTACTCTAGTTTCTCCTGCGGAAACTACTATTAGTGAAAAGTCCTAAATTAGTCGAAATTAGAAAACATTTCTACTAATTCTGCATAATTCTTATTATTTTCTTTAGTAATTTTTCATTTTTCACTCGTTTCAGTAGAAAATTAGTATTGGTAAAAATTCCTGAGTTGGTTGAAATTAGTAAAAGTTTCTAATAATTCTTCTTCATTTCCTACTAATTCTCTTTAGTTCTAATTAGTTTGTTAAGTAATTATTAATTTTTTATTCAATTTAAAGTAACAAACTACTATTAATTACTCAACTATTAACACTATTAATTACTTAACTATTCGAAATTAGTAAAATTTCCTACTAATTCTTTTTTCACTAAATTTTACTGAATACTCATTAGTTCGTTTAGTAGTTCTTAATTTTTTACTCAAGTTTTAGTGAAAAATTACTATTAGTAAAAATCCACAATTACTTAAATTAAAATTAGTAAAAGTTGTTACTAATTCTTTTTCTTCTTCCAATTCTACTTAATTCTTCTTATTCTGTTTAGTAATTTTTAATTTTTCATTTAAATTCCTCCTGCGGAAAATTACTATACCAGTGAAATTTCCTCAAGTAGTCGAAATTAGTAAAAATTTCTACGAATTCTACTCAATTCTTATTATTTTCTTTAGTAGTTTTTCATTTTCACTCAAGTCTTAGTGGAAAAATACTATTAGTAAAAGTACTCAATTAGTTAAAATTAGTAAAAGCTTCTAGTAATTCTTCTTTTTCTACCAATTCTCCTTAGTTCTAATTTGTTTAATTGTGATTAATTTTTGTCTTAAGTTTAATGGAAAATTACTATTAGTAAAAATTTTCTATTTAGTCGAAATTAATAAAAGTTTCTACTTCTTCTCCTTTCACTGAATTCTACTGTATATTTATACTACTGAAATAATTCGTTTTTAGTTACTAGTTCGTTTAGTAGTTTTTAATTTTTTACTCAAGTCTTAGTGGAAATTTACTATTAGTAAAAAGTTCTACTAGTAAAAAAAATTCTGTTAGTAAATATTTCTACTTATTCTTCTCCTACTAATTCTACTTCATTTTGATTATTTCGTTTAGCAGTTTTTAATATTTTACTTAAATTTAAGAGAAAAATTACTAATGACATGAAAATAGGAAACTTTTACTATTTCTCTCAGCAGGTCTCAATTTTTTACTTCAGTTTTAGTGGGAAATTGCTAATAGAAGAAAGTCCTCCACCAATTAATATTATTAACAATTTTTACTAATTTTGAAAAAAAGTTATTTTACTATTCAATTTAGTAATTTTTAATTTTTTACTCAAATTGATTTACTAATAGTTTATTTTCTAATATTAAAAAAATTACTATTAGAGAATAATTTTACTAATTTCACTTAGTAGACTCAACTTTTTACTTAACTTCAACTTAACTTTTTCACTGATCCATTTTCTAAATCGGAATGAAGTAAAAAGTCTTCCTTGTATAAAAAATTTGAAAATCTTCCACTAATTCTTTAGAAAATTTTACTAAATCTTTTAGTGTTTTTCAATCTTTTACTTAAGTTTTAGTAAAATTTTAGAATTATTGAAAAGTCTTCTACTAATTGAAATTAGTAAAAAAATTTTATTAACTTTTAGAAAAAGTCTATTATTCCATTAAGTAATTATGTTTTTGTAGTTTCAATTTTTGTTCGTACTTCAAATTTTCTTTTCCAGTTTCGTAATTTTCTTTCATAGTTCTAATTTTCCTCTACAGTTATTTATTTCTTTAATAAAATTGTAGAGAAAAATAATTAAAAATTAGTCAAAACACTCAAAACTCTTCCTAATTTGAATTAGTAATCGAATTAGGAAACTATCGAATTTAGAGAATAAAGAACAAAAAATACCTTCCTAATATTTGAATAAGCATTTTTTCCCTAGACCCGGTAAAATTTTTCCATTTAACATTTTCAGTTAATTTGTTCCCCATTAATATTTCAATTAAACAAAAAATTGACAAAAATAAAAAAAAATTTCTTGAATAAATTTCTTTTTGTTAATTTCTAAAGAAAAACATTTTCTACATATAGTTGATAATTGCACAAAAAATGAATAATTATAATAAAAGAAAAGTATCTTTTATGCTTATGACAACAAAATATTTCCAACCTCCTTTTCTTTGAGAGATGTAGAGTTCACTGTTCTAGTAGTTAATAAACATGAATTTAGAGTTTAAATTACAGTTTCCGTGAATTTACTTTTTTTTTGTTAAGTATCTACAACAAGGTAGGCAACTTTTAAATTTTAATTGGGATAGAAAAGAGTTTGAAGAGTTCTTGTGTTGAAGAGTATGTTTGTGAATATGAAAATTATAATTAACGATTTTTACCATTCCGAGGAAAATGAGCAAGTTTTTTTTTCTATATACAAGCGAAAATAAAATCATTCGAACAAAAGTTGGCATTAAACGAGAGAGAGAGAGATATTTTTTTTTGCTACAACAATAACAAAAATTATAAAATTCATTCTCTTGTAATGAACCATTTTCATTTTTGATTGAAAAAGTTTTTTTTCGGATACATAACAGTATGTATTATTTGATTTTAAATATTTTTTGTTTTAAATATATGTTATATGATATTTCAAGTAATTTTAGTGAATACTGAAAATATCAACAATTTATAGAGATAAAAAAAAAATTTGCAAAATAATGGAGTTTATGTTCTTGTATTGAAAAACATTTTTATATTGTATAAAAAAATTTCAGATTGTAAACAATAATTTAATATTGAAATGAGCTTAATTTTGTTGAAATATTTCTGGAAATATTGACGTAAATAGTTATAATCACTCTAATGAATAAACATACTTTGTACATATAAGCAACAATTAAATTGTTTTCTCTATAAAGAACACGCTTTTCCTCCATAAATATAGCTGTTCATAAATGCGGTTCTTTCGGTAAATATTTACAGGCGTGTATTTTGACTTAATTTGCTGTCGTTATGAAAAAAAAGACATTAAAAAAATAAAGAATTTTTTTTTTTAAATAAAAGGAAATTATTTATATTTTCCCTAAAAAACAAAGATTTTGACTTTCAATCCTAATTACGATATTGGTCTAAAATTTTATAAATTAATTCTTCTTTTATTCCATTGGAAAAGAATATAATAGACATTTATTTCGAAAACTATTAAAATACGATAATATGTATATAGCAAACTCAACTTCCACTAATGATTCCAATTTTTCTTTTTATTGCGTTCTTCGTTGAATTTAAATCCAAGTAATAAGAAATTCAAATTATATATAACTAAACCTTGACTTCTACTTAGCTCTCAATTATTTTCTTATTAAAATAGCAATTATTTCCGACTATAGAAGAGAAAAAAAATATTATTTCATCCTCAATTATTCTGTAGAAAAAAAAAACAAACTTTTTAATCGTATGCTCAAAAAAACGGAGCAAATAAAAGAATAAAAATGTGAAAAAAGAGATGAAAATAAGAAAAAAAGATAAAAATATAAAAAAATAAAATTAGAAAATTAGAAAAAAATATAAAAAGAGAATCGAAGAGAAAAAGAGAAATTAATATAAGAAAGGGGAAAAAATATAAAAAGAGAAAAAAATATGTAAAGAAAAAAATTTTTTTAAAATAGGAAAATATTTAAAAAAAAATATCAAAAAAGAAAAAAATACCAAAAATGATAAAAATAAAAAAAATAAATAAATAAAATTTGAAAAAAATATTTCGTAAAATTAAAATACGCAAAGCTTTCATTCGCAAGAATGATTACTCTGTTTTCAACGAGCGCATAAACTATCAATCAACTTCTCTCTCAATCTTTTCAAGCAATAAGTTTCTGCGAAAGTTTTGCATACACTTTTTCAAAGTGTTTAAACATATAACTTTGCAACATTATTTATCCAAAGACAATTGGAAAACGATTGAAAAGTATTTTCAAGACAAATAAAAATGAATTTTTGACAATAATATTTCGAGAAAGTTTTCTTTTCTTATAAATAATAATGGAAAAAAATTTATGAGAATTTAAAAACTAATAAAATAACAAAAATTAATAAAATGAGAAAAATTAATAAAATGAGTAAATGAGGAAAAATAATAAAATGACGAAAAATAACAAAATGTCGAAAAATAACAAAATGTCGAAAAATAATAAAATAACAAACAATACTAAAATAAAAGAAAATAAATAAAATTAAACAATAAAGTATAAAAGAGAAAAGAAAAGAATAACAAAATTACAAAAC